CTTCATCACATAATTGTTGATCTATGATCGTCAAGATTAATATCCAGTCACAATATCACTAGATTCATTTTTCTTTAAAGGAAATATTATCAGAGCTATTTTTTTTCAAAAAAATGTTATTAGAACCATTTTTTTTCAAAGGAAATGTCACTAAAATAATTTTTCTTTAAAGGAAATATTATCAGGGCTATTTTTTCAAAAAAAAATCATTAGAGCCATTTTTCTTTAAGTAAATACTATTAAAGTAGCTTTTCTTTAAAAAAATCTGCCTTTAGTTTTATTTTCTTCAAAAAAAAAATATAAGTTAAGAAACTGAGCTGCACACAAGCTAAGTCACAATATAAACTAGCTTGCAAATAGTTTAACTTATGTAAAGCTCTATTAATGATTAAGTTTTTTATCCCTTTGAGGTGATGTATGAATTTTAACTACTAATTTTCTTAATTAAAATTATAATAAAATTATTAATAATTAGTATAAATTAAAATAAAAATAAAAATTTTTATCTTTTCAAATACTTTTATATTTTGACTGTTTTTTATATTTTTTAATACATTTTCTTTTTTTTCTAATATAACTCCTTTTAATATAAAAGAGCTTCTTGAGTAACTAAATTAATAATATAAGTTAATATCATACATATTGGTCTTCAGAATTAAAAGTTATATTATCATTCAAAAAATAACTTTCTAAATAAATGAATGCAGTATCCATATTATATGTACTATCAGATATAATACTTAATGTTTATTAAAAATATTATTTATTAATTAAAATATACTTATTTTTTATTAATATAAATAAATTAAAAATTTACCTTTTGTAATATTTCATATTCTTTTAAGATTTTATAAAATATATATGAAATATTTTTATCAGAATAAGAATCGTCAAAATGATAAAAATTAAGAAGGATTTATTTAAGTTCCTAATCTTTTATAATCCAATATGCTGTAATTTCAAGAAATGGAATGATTTTTAAAAGTCTAACAGTCAAGAATAAATAATTTTACCTGATATTTCTTGTAATTATTTTTTAATATTAATTTTTTTATTATTATATGCTTTTATAATATTATTATGCATAATATCAGCAAAATACATTTTAACTTCAAAATTAAGTTTTTTAATTATTGTTTGAAAAAATGTATTTTCAACAATAATAAAAGATTAATCATCTATAATTATTCATTTAGTTAAAACTAATCTTTTTATATAAATATCTATTATTATAAATTATTAAATTATTAAATTTTATTATTTATAATTAATATAATTAAATTAATAAAAATAAATATACATATTAAGAAATCTTTTATATTAATATATTTATTCATTAGCCTTTTAACTTTTAAAATAAATGTGAATGTTTTTTTTAAGATGAATTTTTAATGTTAAAGTTAATTCATCTTTAGAAATTTTATAAATTATATTTAAAAAAAAATTAAATTAATTTTTATAATATTTTAATTATATTTATTACTAAAAATTTAAATTTTATCTGCAATGATTATAGTGATATTTGTTACTTTTTTTATTTAAAGTATAATTACTGTAAATTATAGATTTCTATATTTTTTATTCTTATAACTAGATCTCTTATTTTGAATATTTTAATTAGGATCCTTTACATTTTAAATGGATTCTTTATTTAAAAATTCTTCATTTCCATTTTATTAAAATTTTTTTAATAATAAAATTATAAAAAAATTAAAAGATAAATTAAAGTATCAGATAATTTTTTATAATATTTATAATATTATGGTAAAGCTAGTGAAGTAACAAAGTAAGTAATAAAAGATAATAAAGTTAAATAATTAATTAAGTTATAAATTAAATAGTTAAGTATAATAAAGTTAAATAGTAAAAGGTCAAGTAAAAATAAAGATAAATGATATTTTTAATAAATTTAAGTTAAGTAATAAAATCATTAAAGTTAATTAGCCAAATATATGATAAAATTTAATAGAGTTAAGTAGTAAAAAGCTAAATAGCCAAGCAAATAAAATTATATTGCAAAATTGATTCATAAAGTCAAGTAGCTAAAATATTAAAGCTAAGTAGCAAATTTATATGATAAAATTTAATAGATTTAAGTAATAAAAAATTAAGTGACAAAACTAGTAAAGCTAAGTTGTAAAATTGACTTATAAAGCTAAGTAGCAGAATTATTAAAGCTAAGTAACAAATTATATGACAAAATTTGATAAGTCAAAGTAAATAGTAAAGCTAGTTAAAATTAATTACAATGTCAAATAGAAAATAATCAGTATGAATATTTTATTTAAAGAAAATAGTCCAAATATTCATTTAATAATTTCACATTCTACAGCTTTCTGCAGTATAATTTTTATTGTTTAATGATAATTTTTATTTATTTAGAATGATTAAATTTATCATTTCAAATAAATTATAAAAAAATCATTTATTTGTAATAATTGAAATTATCATTCTAAAAGAATAATAATAAAATCATTCATTTAGAATGATTAAATTATCATTTTAAAAGAACAATAAGAAAATGATTTAATTAGAATGATTAAATTATCATTTAAAATAAATGATAAAAGAATTATTCATTTAGAATAATTAAATTTATCATTCTAAATGAACAATAAGAAAATTATCATTTCAAAAAACAATAAGAAAATTGTTCATTTTAAATATTTAAAATTATCATTCTAAATAAATGATAAGAAAATCATTCAATTAGAATGATAATTTAATCATTCTAAATGAATGATAAGAAAATCTTTTAATTAGAATGATTAAATTATCATTATAAATAAACAATAATAGAATCATTCATTTGGAATAATTAAATTATCATTTTAAATGAATGATAAAAGAATCATTCAATTGAAAGGATTAAATTTATCATTCTAAAGAATAATAAGAAAATCACTTATTTGGAATAAATCATCTGAAATTTTAGAGTAATTTAAAATTTCAGTTTGATTCAGATTTTTTTAGTTCAGATTAAATTTATAATAAGAAAAATTCTAAACTGAAAAAATTTTCAGATTATTTTTTTGTAATCTGAAACAACTGAAGTTGATCTGAACTGAAATTTTTGAATTAATCTGAATTGTTTAAAGCTTTAATAATTAATAAATAAAATTGCTGACAAATTTGTAGGCAAAACAATTAAAGGGATAATGTGATATTAATTAAAAGTTTATTTCTTTATTAAAAATAATTTAAATTTAATAAAATATTTATTATTTTATTAACTTTATGTTTTATTTATTTATAGATGATTTGTAATAAAAATGATGAAAATTATAAAAAAAAAAAAATTTTAATATTAAATTTTAATTTTTCATATTAATATATAAAGTAAATTCTATTTTTTACTTTGAAATAATTATTAATAATTATTATACTATTTATATAATTATTTGTTATCATTATATTTTATTATATTTATTACAATTTATAATGAATATATTATTTTTATATATAATATATAATTAAACTATTTTACAAATATGGATTGTACTGATTATATAAATATTAAAGATATATTTTAATAATTTACGATATGTATAATTATTAATTAAATAACTTTATTTAGTCTAACCGAAGTGTTAAACATATTATGTTGCTTTAGATGTATAAATTAATGATGATCAATTTGAACCATGCTTAAATTGCTTAATGAAGATCCCTTTTTTTTTTTTTTTTGACTAAAATTAAATTTAATTAAACAGAATTCCAAAACCTATCGCTTTAAAGAACTTTTAACATTAGTTTCAAACATAGTAGAAATTAACCAATCTTGGGGGATGGTGCTGAAACGTTGCCTTTTTTATCTTTTTTATTAACCGACCGACCGACATTTGACAATAAAATTTATTTGTGATTTCCATTGTACCGTAACATGCCAATATTTATTAAATGTATATCGAAACTAATTATTTAATTATTTAGAGGAATATTAGCCATACTTTTTACAAACAAATGAATTATCTTATTTAGCATTTGATTTCATAGGATACACATGTTTCGAGATTAAGTTTAAACCTTTAAACACTTAATACTTCTTTTTATAGAGCTAGGAGAAGTTACCCGTAGAAAACTATCCACTCAAGTTTATTAAAATATTTTTGTCAGATTTCAAATGTTTGAAAATACAAACCTAATGAGAATATTTTTTAACCAGTCCAGTCGTACACATTACACAATAATGTTTCGGATGTTCTGAGTAAGGGTTAAATCACATGATAATCAATAAACCTGTTACAATTACGGAATTTAAGTTATTGCATATTTACCTTGCCAAGAGAAATGTTTTACAAACTTAGATCCGAGTATGCACCTTAAAATGTGCCAGTTTAAATCAAATCAACCAATCATAATCAAATATGTAATCTCATCCTAAACAAAAAGAGTATTTCAAGAAATTTGAACTTTACGATATATGGTACGTTTATTGTAAGTATAAGAAAGGAACAGATGTGGAAAAAAAAAATAATTGCGATTACAAACCAGAGGTAAGACCTAAAGACCTAAATAAAGAGCGTAGTCCTTTTTTTAAAAATATAATTTCCATTCTTGGTAAATGATTACTTTTTTTAATTAAAAAAACAAAAATAAAGATCAAGTAATCTCATCAACTTCGACGAGTAGTACAAACTAAATTAAAAAAACCATGCGATAGGTGCGGGTAATTTCGGCTTTTCCGAAATTGGTAAAGTGATGTAATCAATCTCGGAAGAATCTTCGAGTAGTAAGTAAGGTTCTTTCTGAATAATTGTGCAAATAAGATCAGATAATATATTATTATAAATATTAAACATGTTTGAATCATTTTTATCGATTCATTAATGTCCGCTCTACCACACTCTTTAATTAAGTAGATATCCATCACAATCAAAATGCCAACATATTCAGTAATCACAATCTTTTATATTATATTACAATCAATAAGCCTCTTATTGTTATTATACTTAATTTTTTCAATATTGACGACAAAAGCACATTTTACCAAATGGACCATGTTTCAAATGCTTCTTTCAGCATTCGGAAATGGGTTGTCTGCTTTACCACCGATAATTATGTATGGGGATGATTTGAATGATCGAGCATTCGAATCTTCAGTTTGCGTTATATCAAGCAAACTTGCAAACTTCACATTATATCCTTTAGAATTCTTTGCGTTAACGATCGCATTTTATTTATGGCACGCGTTAGTCAAGAAAAGACTTGACATCGAAAAGAGAACCTTGATTTATTTTTCTGGAGCGATTTGGGGGTTTACCATTATATATAACATATTTGAAATGGCTCGTTCAAGTCAAAAAGAAAATTGGGGTGTCAGAACTTCGTTGTTGAATTGCAAAAAAACATTTAGTATGCAAAACGTTTTTGGATTTTTAATACCAGCATCCATTCTAGTTTTTATCACGATAATCATGATGTGTAAGAAATCATCTAAATCGATTTTTCAACTTTTTCATAAGATGAAATTTTTTTAACATTTTATTTTATCTCGAATATTTTAGGTCATTCATCGATTATCTTGTATGAGCGTTGGAAAAATTTCAATCATAACATGAATAGAACAACAGCGATTAAATTAGGACATGCAGTTCGTATTTACATTTTGTGTATAACCATCATAATACTTTCTTTACTCTACATTATCCCACGAATCTTTCATTCGAATTCTTCATTGACAACAGTAAGCTCTTTTGCTTCAGCAAGCATGCAAGTATAGCTACACGATTTTGTTTTTTATTTTTTTTTTTTTTTTTTTTTAAAAAAAAAAAATATTTATTAAAATACTTTTTTTTTGTTCTTCCTCCACAAGTGGGATAGTGACATTTTTAATCTTCGGAACAAACAGAAAAGCAGCATTATTTCTTCCATTTTTTTATTATGTTCCTCCAGACAAAACAGGAAACGAATTATTGCAAGATGGCGAAAAGGAGAATACTTTCAATGTTTAAGATATCTAAAACTTTATCCCTTATTAATTTAAAAAAAAAAAAAAAATACTAGAAAAATAACCAAAACGATAGATGTGAAAATTATTATTGTATATCAATCAATTTTAAACCTTAAAGTCAAACATTCTTTTTTTTTTTTTTTTTTCGAGTAAAGATTCATTGATTATGACTTTACAAAGGATAGATTTCAACCGAATAAATCATCTGTATCATCTTATTAATGTTGTTCATTTGACGGAATGTGCCGATACTAACTTAAAATGTTAATAATAAATCAAAAGTCGAACGGGCCACAAAAAGCAACTACTGTAACTATAATTTTTACGTGACCATGTCAATCAAAAGGAAATTTATGCGCATTGAAGCGTCAATACAAATTTCTAAATAATTATTATTTTAAAAATTTTATATATACAATATATGTGTAAACTTTGCTAGTAAAAAAAAAAAAAAAACAAAAAAATTATATATCTATCTATTTTGCCTGATAACAATGAATGTGTTAGCAAGAGGTTAATTTTTTTTTTTAATATATGTACAAAATGATTTTTCTATTAAAGGATTTATGTGAGATGGATTTTCTCGGAGGTTAGGGGTTGTACTAGTATTCTAATATGATTTATTGCTTAGTTTATCAAAATCTCTACCCAACTCGGATGTTGATTACTTCTTTAACTAACCCTTATAACGATATTAATATCATCTTGAGAAATAAAGGATTTGTTTAATTCGTCTATCTGAATTTCTTGTATATGTGGAGTGCCTGGTGGAACGTAATAAAATGGAAGGAAGATCGCTGCCTTTCTTTCTGTTCCAAATATGAGAAACAAATATGTCCCTCTAAATCAAAAAAAAAACAGGTTAGTACTCAAAAAATTAATAAAAGAAGACATTCTTCTCGATAAATGGTAACTCACATTAAAGCCGAATTTATACTAGCAATTTTGATGATTTTAAATTTGGTAACCATGTATTCATCACCTACCAAAATTCGAGGGATGAATAACAAAAGTAGCCAAATTATAAACATGAAACACCAAGCGCACAAACGTACGGCCTCTCCCAATCTAATCGCGGTTGTTCTATTCATGCGATTTCTCCAATTCATCCAACGTCTCCATAAAATTACGGTTGAGTGACCTTAAATAAGGAAGGATGCAACAAGTTTAGTAAATCAAATCCTTAAAAATCAAAAACATGAAACCAATAAATGATGAGCTCACATGTCATCAATAATGTAAAAAAGGCCAGGATGATCGAAGATATGTAGTACCCAATGAAGGAATCATGATTATCACTGAGCTTACAACTCAAACTGGTGGGTTTAACATTCCAATTCTTATCATGACTAGCCGATTTTAATAACATTCCGTTATAAATGGTTGTACCAATCCAAATCATAATGGAAATAGGTAGAGAAAACCTATTTTCAAAATCTATCCTCATTGTATATAAAGCGTGCCATAAATAAAATGCCAAAGCGATAGAAAAAAATTCTAGGGGGTATAGGAAATACAATGAAACTTTTTGCATTATTATACATAAAGGATTTTCAAATGCTCGAGCCATTAAATTATTTCCGTAAATTATTATCGGTGGAAGACTGGTGAACCCATACATAAACGCTGACACACATAATTGCAACAATGTCCATTTTAAAAAGAAGGATTTGGATTTTATAATGACCACCATTAGGCATGATAATAAAAAGAGACTTATCGATTGTAATGAGATATAAACCACCGCTAACGTTGAATATTTTACCATTGCGTGATAACCCATATGTCAAAAAAAAAAAAAAAATGGGAGGCAATGGAAGGGAAAGTTATATTTATAAATACGATATCAAAGCTTATGATTCCTTTTAAAGAGCTTTATTTTAAATAAAGAAAAACTTGGAGTTTTTCGCGTCACGCATGAAAAAAGAAAGTGAAAGTGAAAGAAATCGGTTTATAAAAAAAAAAAATAAAAATAACGAAAAATGAACCTTAATACTCGAGAGTAAAAAAAAGTTTTGATGTAATTTTGCAGTATTGTTTCATATAAAAGAAAGTTGAAAGTGAATAATAGTTTTACACAACGAATCAAAAATTTATTCAATAATCAAAAAAAAAAAATAAATGATCATCATTGCCTTTTACCTACATCATAATAATTTATTTTACTATTTGTTTATTCTCTCATATTAGATTGCTGTGCCATTATCACCCCCGATTTTCAAATTTCCAAATCAAGTTGATTTTCGAAAGGAAAATAAGAAGTATTGATTTGAGTATAATCGAGATGATTTATTTATTAAATGTTTGAAAGTAAGTCACGTTAACCAAAATAATAAAGTTGTATTAATTAAGAAAGGTTGGAATGTCACACATCTTATATAGATTTCCGAAGATCCTTCTTGTGGGAGCACGAATGACTATTGGTTACAAAAAATGGGAGGGAAAAATCTGGAAAGTTTGTTTGCAAAACAAATATTCTTACCATTTAAATGACAAAGAAGGTTAAAGCTCATGTGCGATAATTAATGCGCCTTAATTGAAAAACAACAGATTTGTTCTCTTGATCGGGAAAGTGAATAAATTGTCGAGAAATTAAATGTTTCGTCGGCGTAAAATTATTTGTAATTTTTTTTTTTTTTCAAAGAAGATAATAAAAAATAAATATATAAATGATTATTTGTCGGAAAATTTATTGTCTTATAAGAATTGCGAACGTCATAAATTGGGAATTCTAAGATTCCATCAAAATATATTATATAATTACAAAGAAAATCTCCAATTATGGTTAGATCCTTGTTTTGTTTGATTGACTCAAATCACCATTTGATATATTATTTTTATCTCTTTAACGTTATTTTTATTATGAAAGCAATTGGGAAACCAATCTCTCCAAGTTGATTAGGGTAACATAAACATTTAAATATTAAGCGTCAAGTGACTTGAATATTTTGTGGTGCATCACGAAGAACATACCAATCATTCGTGGGGATGAGTGTAATTCAGAATGTTATGCTTCTATTATTTACATCAGCAAAATAAACATTCCTTATAATTTTTTTAATAAATATAGTGTTTTTGTTGTCAATTCTTCCTTTCTCGTTCTAAACCTCCGCCCTACGCCTAATTTACCGAATCAAATGCATGAAAAAAAAAATCATTGAAAAAAAATTTGGCGTTTTTATTAAAGTTTTACAAACAATGCGAATCAAGTAAAATTAAACCAAACGTATCACCGATTACCATAAAAAATTAAACCGTTTTAATAGCCAAAATTTCGTTTTTAAATTCGAATGAAAACGATGTTCCCCCCCCTTTTTTTTTTCATAAACCTTCCTTTTTTTCAATAGAATCTCTTAAATGATACACAGTTACGGGAAGTATCTTCTCTAAAACGCTTTGTTTATATTACGCTGGGGATATGCAATAAATATAATGGATTTCATGTATTTCATGTTTGAGATTCACAGGAAAATAAAACTTTAATATAATCTGTGATGGTCAAAACTATTGAATTTTCACATGATCGACGGTTCGATCTACTAAAAACAAATAACGAAGGAGCTAAGCCACGAAATAGATCAATCTAGATCCTTAACAATAACAAAACCGATTACATTGAAATTATCATAATGGTAATGATATTCCAAATTTCATAAACATCTTTATTGATTCCGAAAATTAAATACGAAATGAGATTAGAGAAAAGAATTATATCGAAAAAAAAATTATTAACTATAATCGAATCTTCTGAGAGAAGAAAAAGGAAAACGAAATAAAAAAAAAAATTAAATCTTATTGTAATTAAATTATACAATAAATCGATTAGCGAGTATGTACTTGCATTAGCTTAATGTTGAATGTCCTCGTAGTAACAAAGACAAATTATCATATGTGTGTGTCTTTATAATAACCCAAAATAAGTTTCGATTTTTTTTGAAAAATTAAGATATTTTCGTTATTGCGAATTAAAATATTTTTTTTTTTTGCGTAATATAAAAAAAAATGAAATAAAATAAAATAAATAAATAAATTTGAATATTAAATAAAAAAGGATTTTTTTTTTTTTCTTTAAATCTTTTTCGAGTACCATCGAAATGATTTAAAGTAGACCTTAAAATCTTCAAACTCTGGTCGAATATAATCGTAGATGGTGTCGTAAGTCTCATCAGAAACTCCCCAAGCTGAAGTGAGTAATAATTTAAAAGCGTTGAAAGACATAAAATAATATGCAACCATCTAAACAGGTAGATAGTAAAGCGAATTTTTAATTTTTTTTTTTTTTTACTAAACCGTAAAAAGGAACGTAAATCATTACACACCATTTCGCCCAATTGGCCCGCCCAATTTCCTAATGGAATATTTTCTTCTTCAAAGTGAACTTCTGATAACTCTTGACAATTTTTTAAAAGTTGTGGAACGTAGGTTTCGGGATGAGGGTTGATTCCTTTAGCTTCGAGTCCGGAATTTGCTAAAATAAGATGATATGTATAAAATAAATAACTTAATTATTTCGTACGAGACGGGAATTAACAAAAAAAAAAAAAAATAAAAACATTCAATGTAACACAACTTAAGTTTTGCATATTTTTATTGTCAAATGTCAGGTATTTTTTTTTTTTTTTTAAAATTTTTTAATTTTTTTTTTTATTTATTTATTTTATTTTGTAGAAAAGTTTACCTAATTCCATTATTTTCGCGAACTTTGGACCCGAGTTTTGATAATCAACAACATAATCAAAAATCTCCACCCATCCACCTATTTGAACTTTAAATTAAATCTTTGATCACACGATTAAAATTAAAAAAATGGATCAAAAAGCCCCTTACCAAGTTTAGTCACGCGTATCATTTCTCGGGTGTAGTATTCCCATTGTTTATTTATCACATTATTTCCCAAAAATCCTTGAAACACGAAATCAAAAGTCTCATTTGGGAATGGAAGGCCGTCGTTTAAATTATGCTGTAGGAAAGCAACATTTTGTGGGATATGGTTGACATCAGGAAATATGGGGGACATATCTATGCCAATGAACGAGGAATTTGGATATTCATTGGCCATGTCTAATAACCACCGCCCGGTTCCGCATCCTACATCCAAGACTTTCGCCCCTCCAGATTTTAGTAAATCGTGCACTGGTGATGAAAAGATACGTTTCCAGACAAACTTTAAAATGTTATGCTGCAAATTCAATCTTTCAGCTGTAACCGAAAAAAAAAAAAAAATAAATAAATAATATAAAATAAAGTAAATAAGAAATTAACAAATTAACATCATGTCTACGTATTGTCATTGCCTCGAATAAATTTATTAGTATACCTTCTTTCTCGTCATTTGGGAGTAAATAAGTTACATCGGTTTGATTATGATATCTTCTTCCTTTAACATAACGAAACGAATCCAAGATGCTTTTGGTATTATCTAATTTAAGCGGATCTGAAGAATCAAATTCTTTGATGACATTAACATTTTTCATATTATTTAAAATACAAAAAAAAATAAATAAAAATAAAGGAAACGGAAATAAAGGTAAAAGGGAGAGGTGAACAATTATCGGAAAATAAATGTGTAGATTATCGAAATAATCGAAAGGAATTAAAAAAAAATGAAGGATTGTGAAAATAAGTTGGAAGATAATTAAATAATAAAGGTCTATGATGAAGGAAAAAAAAAAAAAAAAAGAGCAAGAAAAAGAGCTCGTTATTTAATATCAAAAAATTGATCTACAATCGATTTTAATTTTAATCTCAAAAAATAAACCTACTTATTCTCTTTATAGATTAACCAGTTTCTCATTTAGAAGCCCGTGCACTACAATTTTCATCTTTGGAAATGAACTGTGTATTTATTTTTTTTTATTTTTATTTTTTTTGAATTCTATTTGCTTACATCTTATTTTATTTATTTTTTAAAAAAAAAAATTACAAAATAAAATGATTTTCCGGTCATTTGTCAGAAGAGACGACGGAATAACCCATTAAAGGCAGGTCACGATAACTCACGATAACGTAATAATTTATAATCGATACAATCACTTGGTCTTAAATTCGAATTCCCGAAACTTCTTTTAAAATTCGTAAATAAATAAATATATATATATAGGAATTTCATATGGGTCCTGTCGACAAGGACAAGGATCCCGTTTAATTTTCGGAATTGGTCAAGCCACCAAACTTAATTCTGCATAGCTTTTATCGTTTCAGTATTTACCGATATTTTTTTCACGATGTGAAAAATAGATTATAAATTTGGTTAAATTAAAAAGTTCCTATTGTAATCAATATAACCATAATTGTTTAACAAGTTGGAAAGAAAAGTAACAGGGGGGGGTTTGATGGAATCATCCAGACTACTCACAAAATATATTATTAATTAATGGTCCTGCAACTTATCGTGTTATCACGAAATTTTTCAAGAGAACAATATTAACTACAAAAGTATTAAGTTTATACGTTTCATTTAATTCGCGTCACAATTCGAATTATAGAAATGCTCGTGACATAAACAACTAACACCAAACGTTATTTCATTTAAACAATTGTAAATTCATGGATTAAAAATTTTGGTTGGTAGAAAATCGATTTGTTGAACAAATATTTTTTTGTATTTTTTTTTTAATTATATAATCTCTTTGGTGCGACTTTGATCGAATCCAAACCAGTTTTGCAACTAGTCTCTAAATTTCCAAAATAAGCGCACTTCATATAAGATTAAGTCGCGACAATCAAATGTCCATGTAAAAAAAAATCATGAGATTTCGGCAAAACGTGGGAAAATGAAAAAAAAAAAACTCGGAAGAAGGACATTTATGAACCCTTTAGAACTACACCCCATTTTCTGCAAATTTTGTAAAGATTATTTTCAATATTTGGTTAAGCCGAGCAAGTTAATTTAGTCATAATAGCCGTGATATCATTGCAACACGGTAATTGAAATAGAAATAATCTTAAAAAACCACATTCGGGTGATAAAGATAATGGTAACGATAAGTTTCAATTGATGAGATGAATGGTGATATGATAATCTAACATGAGCCTTCTCATTTCCTTCCAGATATTCAAGAAAAAAAAAAAAAAAAGTACGTTTTGAATACAACATTTATCCAAGTCGCGAAAGCCGGTCAATCTTAATTCCATTCAACACGTCCCTACCCATTTAAAGAAGTCAATATATTCTTGCTTTAATCAATAAAGACTCGGGTGTCACCCTTTAATGCATGTACGCAAATAAATATAACGTTCGGGTCATTTGATCAAGTGTTACAAATTGCCTTTATTTCTTGATTTTTTATGTACTTTATATTAAATTATCGGAGTAACCAATTATTTATATACGAATCACGCGAATTAGCACACATACTAAAGAATCGAAGAAAGTAATGAAATGGAATCCCATTAGTCCATAAATTTCCTTGATATTCATTCACTTGACTTTATTGATTAACTTTTTATACGGCGTTGCATATTTTTTTTTCCCCATCAAGTGCTGACATAATGACTTATATAATTTGAGCTTATGATTTAATTTAAAGAAATGTCCGACTATTTTTTAAAGAAAAGATCAGAATCCAACTTGTTTTATTTTAAAGTTAATGGCGTACAATCCCATCTATTACGGAACCAAATTCATTTGTGAAATCATGAGTCACTAACATGTTATCATTCCTTGAAATCCACATTTGTATAATATAATAAAATCTTTAGATCTATAAATCTTTTCAAAGTAGATAATAACGCCAATAACCCGCACATGTGATCTAATTTAGGGAATGTTCATCGCGATCGATCCATAATAATTTTTTTTTTTTTTTTCTTGCTAACTCGAAGAGATCAGGTTATTATGTATCTATTCATCATCTTTCACAAGGAATGGCATTATTCTTTCGTGTAAAATATTGTTTAAGCTTAGATGGTATATTAATTATAATGATAGATCGTAAGCGTAGGTATTACATTTTAATATTAAATATATTAATTACCGTTAAGCCTATTTATAAACCTCGAACGCATTAATCTTTAATAAATTCCATTTTAAAAGATGTTCGTGCACAAAATTACGAGTTTTTTTTATATATATATCTCTCTCTCGTTTAGATTCCCAAAATAGCTATCTGTTTTTTCAGAGACATGGTTTTTATGAATTCTTGGTCCTTGTGCGCATATCGTACCACGATCCCGGGCATTTGTTTATGTCCCCGGTGCCTGAATCCAATCATGTACTTTAAATTAATTTCCATCTAAGGATAATATTCCGAATGGGAAATTTTTCTTGCATAATTGGCTAAGGCGATGTCCGAAGAAAATATTCTGATCAATCCTGGTTTCTAAATTATTTATCTATTTTTTAAAACTACTTTTAATAAATTGTGAACGGCAGTCTTAAAATTCTTAATATTTCCTTGAACAAATTTTGCTAATCTTAAAGACGTTTCGTTTCAAAATACAGGACTTCGTTTCTAAACCGCCTTTACCATTAATTACTATGTATGTTAACGAATCGACGACACGTTTGAAAGGTAGAAACCTTAATTTAAATTAATAAATTAATGGTGAAATACCCAGAATTTTAATTTTAACTTTTGGATGGTCCTCCTTGTGATTTTTCGTGATTTCTGATTGGTAATCGAAAGAGAGCATTAACAATAGTTTCACAATATATATCAATTTCCACCTATTATCATTAATTACCATATCCAACCATATACACGCTTGATAGGTATAAATCTCATTTTAAATAATTAAGCTTCCAAAAAAAAAATAGATTGCGTGATTTTTTGTGATTTATAATTGGTAATATCAAAGGATTCCTATATAACCGATATTTGTTTGAATTTTGAAATTTTGACCTTTCTGTTTAAATTCGAATCAATCATAATTTTAATGAAATATGAAATAACTTATGTGAAAGAGGCCAAGAGAATTTTAATGTCGTAATTCTGTTAAAATTATGCGACGCTCATAAATGATCAAACCACGGGAACTTAATGATTAAGGGCAAGTAACATTTGGTCAGAGAAAAGCGGAAGTTAAAACAATGGTTTCATGTAACACCCGGAGATCCTTGAATTTATTTCATTCTAAACTAAAAACTTTAAAAATTTTCACTCATTCCAAACAGTTTTTATAACTTTTTTTTTTAAATCCTTTTCAGCTCTTCTTTTGTGTTTTCTTCTATCTTTTGGAATATGAAATTTCTTATTCTGAACAATTTTTGTTTTTGCGTATTTCTATTTCATTGCTCATATTTTTTATTAGGTGATCACAATAAATTTTGCGTACAGTATATTGGATGTGACAGAATCAGTCGTAGTTTATGCATTCTAGTAAGTCGAAATTACCAGAGTACTTCAAAAGATGTAGTTTGAAGGTGAAAGATTTGATGGAGTTGGTGGAGTTGGTGACGACGACTAGTAATAAATTTCTTTAAACTAAATTTGCAGTTTGTTATTAAATATAACTTCCAAAGTTGAATTTTATATAAAGATTACTTGATTCAAATCATGCTTACTAATCGTAGAAAGCATTTTTCTTGGCGCCTAATGATAAGATTTTTCAATATATCAAAAGGGGGAAAATCGAGTTCTAAGATCATCTAACGTTTTTCTTCCACCTTTGATAATCCTTCAATTATTTTGTTGTATTGCAGCTTTGTTCAAAATATCAAAATTTCGTCACGTGCGCGTATAAATACAATTGCCAAAATCACAACTAAAGTTTCCACTGCTATATTCTTTTCCCATGCGTCTTAATATACTAAACTCCATTGAACGTTACAACTGTTTTATAATGAATCAAGAATTCATCCAAAAATCATTGGAATGCATTCCACGTAAATAATTATGATATAACTTGATAAATGCAATACTTAGTTTTCGTGGTTGAGTTAAGAAACTGCATCTGATAAACGTAAAAACTTAATAATCCCAATTATTGAAGAAGACATTGATGAAATCTTTCATCGCGGAACCTACTTATACTCAAAACGCAATTTTTTCCGGTGTAAGATTTCTTTATAAAATATTTTTATGATCTATGATTCTTTAAGGTAACTTGAGAATATTCTTTCAACTTATCATCTGTTTTCTTCAGCGCTTAAATAAGTGCTTTTCAATAAGGTGCAGGTTCCAATGAAATTACGTCTATAATCCTTGAGAAATTTGTTTAAATCGTCCTAAGTAATCTAACTTCCCGGTTGCATTATTAGCGAAATCCTCATCAGTTGTTGTTGTTAATCATTCAGGCGAAACTGAAAGTTCAATAGACTAAATGTTTCGGATTTAAGAAAGTGGTTCCTCCTGTAACACTAGATTTGTATCTGTTTTTGTCGTGGTACTTTACTAGAAATATCTAATAATAATAAGTCTCGATCTGATGCATTTGACAAGTGGTACGCCAATCTGACTTTAATTCCGTAGAGTCCAAGGAAATGTTTAAGTTTAGAAAGGAAACTTGGAAATTAGAATCAGAACCATCCGGT